GTGTGTGGAGAGAGAGAGAGAGAGAGAGAGAGAGTATGCCATTACAAAATTGTTGATTGGGTCTGATTGTGCCATTTGATTAGGAAAATTTTGATCTATATAAGCACCTCACTTAACAATAGAAGCTACTAGTCAAGACACAAATTGAGAGGTCATATTCTCATTTGTAGTGAGTTAAAACCCAGTGGTTCAGAAACGGAATTGCCACTCCGGATCGGAAATCGGTCAAGACCGACCTAGCTCCTTGTTGGAACAAGGAATTGGTTTGATTACTTTGGACTCGCCCAATTCCATCAGGGGACCAAGCTATTCTATCAGGAAATTGGGCGATCCGGATTAGCTGGATCACCAGTTTCCCACACAATATATTATTTATTATTTTTCTTCTTCTATTTTTTAGATTTATGGACTGATTCTCACTCTAGAAATTAGTCAGATTCACCAGTCCAGATTGGCGATTCGTTGATCTCGACCGGATTTCTCGAAGGCCGGTTCATGCGGTCGAGCATGGTTTTAGAACACTGCTCGTATGTATTGGATGTCAACCTTCATTTGTCCTTTTCCATAGGTTGAGATTAAACTAGCTAGTGAATTGAATTATGGCTATTGGTCTTTCTCTTAGGTCTTCCTCATAAGGGAGAAATTTAAACCTTGTCTAACAAAGATAAGGAAGAAGATGACTATGAAGAAAATGTATTATATGTGGCAGCAGCTTTTGCATAGACTACTTATATGCAATAAAATTAGTCCTTTGCTGTCATGATCATGTTAAGTTGCTCTCCATTTTCTTCTTGAGAGTCATCCTTCTTAATAAATCAAGTTGTTCTCCATTTTCATCAACTTTCTTACTTGAAATTCGTCCTTCTTAACAAACTCTGATGGTGTGTTTGACTTCAAGAAAACGTGATTTCCAAATCAGCATCTTCTAGTGCTCTAGCATTTCCTTGTTTGATAACGGGGAAGTTTTATAGTAAAGTGGATATCGTGGTATCCACTTGTTTTATAATTTAGGCTAAAAAGTGGATGTTGCCAGTTCCATGGGGGACCATGGATGTTGGGGTATCCACTTCCTTGAAAGATGTGGTTTCTACAAGCATGTTTTCCTTAAATCAAATATGCCCTGAGAGAGGCCCAATTAGGAGAAATTCTCTATGCATATACCTCTCCTCCCTAAAACAATGTGCTTCTGAGAAACCTCCATAAAGATGCTCTGATGCACATAAACTCTTATTGCTGACATGAACACATAAAAGACCACTATTTATGACTCCTAGGCAACATTTAGGGGTCGTTTGGCTCGGGATAGAAAAAACTTTGCTTTTATTCCAAACCTAGGTTTTAAGACTAGGTAGTTTTAAACTTGGATTTTCGGTGTATGCTGTTTGGATAGCATCTACTTAGATATAGATTTTATTTTTTTCATTGTTTAAACTCACTTATTTGTAAAACATTGGTTTTATATTTATTTTATTTTACATGCATTAATAGAGGTCTAAATATTACATGTTGTAATAACATGTGTAACACCTCATATTTATGAAATATGTAACTCACCCAAGTGTTAATAACATCGAACAATAAGATCAACAATCTTTGCACACCCAATTGTAGCAAATGTCGAGATGGTAACAATAGTAATTGAAAATTCTTGAGAAATGGAATTTGCACCCTTGGATGTGATAGATGATAACTAAAGATTGATTTGTGCAAACTTAAGACAAGGGGCACAATCCTTCTCTTTTATTTGTAGAGAGGGAGTCAATTTGTTTAAGCTTTAAATATTAGTGGAAGTAGAAATAGAAGTCATCATAGAGAATCAAATTGCCCAAGCTTTTAATAAAAGTAGGAACGAGACAATGAGAGAGAAAATCATGTTGTCTAACCTTCTAACGTAGGGAGTCAAATTATCTTAGCTCTAAGGTTGTTTATGGGCCTTGGCTGGCCCTAGGCTTGCAGGTTGGTGTAGTTTCAGGCTAGGTCCAAGCCGCATGTTAAGGTTTGCGGGACTGGACAGCTCGGATTGACTCCAGTCTGTGAGTAACATTATTCTTGGTCTACTGCTAGCCTTCGATCAAGATTGTACAATTGTGGATATCTAAAAAACATATAAATTGTATGTATGGAAACATATAAAGGCCACATTGGGCCGGCCCAAATATTCTTTAAGTAATATATTACATTTGTTAAATTTTTTTTTTCGTATTTATGAAGTGCCTATGCTGTTTTTTCTTCTTGAGGAGCTGGGTTGGGCTGCGTTATCATGAATTCGGTCTAGTCCCAAGCCATGCCCAAATCTAAAATTTTAAGTTTGAGCCTACTTTATACTGCTTGGGCCAAGCCTACTTGTTAACAACCCTACTTACCTTTTAAGAGAGAATCAAATTATCTAAGCATTTAATGCAAAGACAAAGAGAGGTAATGTTAAGGAGAGAATCATGTCTAACTGTCTAGAAAAAAAGAGGGAGTCAAATCATCTAAAAGTTGAGAGAGAGAGAGAGAGAGAGAGAGTTAAAGTGTTTAAGCTCTGCAAGAGGATTTCTTGATACTAATATGAAAAACTTGTAGACTGGAGATAGAACGGGGGGATATATCACGTACGGTACATTAAGAGATTAAGTGTTTAGTCTTTGCGAGAGGTTTTCTTGATGCTAATATGAAAAACTTGTAGATTGGAGATAAAATGGGGGGTTATGTCACGTGCATTAAGAAATTAAATTGAGAGACAAAAAAAAGATCAAATAGAGAGGACGGTTTTGCTCAAGCATTTAGAAAATAATCAAGTTAAAGAGAAAAAAACATAGACTGAGGATGTTTGGAGGAAATTTTAGTAATCAAGTTAAGAGAGAGAAATTAGATTAACTCCGTGGTTATTAGACCGCCATTTCATCATTTCAGTACCAAAAAGCATTTACCAAGTGACGCTTTTATATCTGCGCACACATAATTTACATGCATTTGGAGATCCGCAGTTGTTCGATCTTGATTGGAGAAATGGTAGTAAGGTGAGAACAATGTCACAAACAGTTTCACTCTCAGTTGTTTGATCAAGATTGGATGGATGGGGCTGAACCATGAAAAATATCACAGGCTGATGCCTGTTGTATTTGTCAAGTCATAATAATGTGTGACATTATTGTCGGCTCACTCCCAGCTGTCAGATCAAGATCAGATAGCTGGATGTTTTTAGACGTATAAATTATATTTTTGTGGAGTCACATAGAAAGTTAGCCCTCTGGACAAGGGGAAAATGGAGGTTTCTTTACTTGGCTCTACACACTTGATCTTGAAGGTAATGGTAAAAGGAGGAAGTAGATATTCAATGAAGGAGTTTTTTTTATGGGGCGAATTTTCTATGTGTCTTTGCACACATAATTCATTATGTCTTTAGAAATCTAGTTATTTGATCTTGATTGGATGGCTGAGAGTAAGCTGACAATAATGTCATGCATTATTGTGGCATGACAAATACAGTTGGCACTAATCTGTAACATTATTCTTGGCTTAATCTCAATCATCCGATCTTGATTGGACAGTTGGGAGTGATGCATGTCTGTGACGTTGTTCTTGGTTTACTATTAGCTTCTGATCAAGATCAGACAGCTGTGGGTCTCCAATAAACTATGTTTGTTGAGACATATAAAGGTTTTACTTGGTACGCACCTTTTTGGTATTGAGATGATGAAATGACGTCCTATATTCATTCATGGAATTAATCTAATCTTTCTTTTCCTCTCTTAACTTGTTAGAATTTCTAGTAAAAACCATCCTAACTTACGCCTTTTTGTCTTCAACTTGGTTATTTGTTAGATGCTTGCGTAAAACCCACTCTCTATTTACTTATTCCTTAATGTGAGACATCACTGCCCCCTGTCTCCTGTTTATATATATGTTTTATATTAGCATAAAAAAGAGCTTTTTTTAAAGCTTAGACTCTCTCTCTCTCTCTCTCTAAAAGCTTTTGGTCAACTTGAATTTCTTTTTCTCTAAAGGGTTACACATGATTCTTTCTATCCCCAATTGCCCTTCTTTCTCCTTGTATAAAAATGCTTAGATAATTTGAATGTCTTTAGAAGCTAAGACAATTCTAACTCCCTCTCTTTTAGCAGGCTAGATAATTTCATTATCTCTCTCAATGCCTCTCTCCTTCTACTTATATTGAAGGTTTCGACAATTTGATTCTCTCTACTTTTATTATAATTAAAAGCTTAAACAT